CTTGAACCCCTTCTAATCAATATATAGAACATGTTGGACCTCTCTAGATCCTTCTGGAATCATCCAAGGAGATATTGAACTTCTCATGTCATCCAAAATCTCATCTCATGCCATACTCACCCCAATTCTGTTTCCCTTGTTGCAACAGCTTGTAATGATCCCAAAATCTCCCCAAGTGAGATATTAGAGGTGTTACAAGGCCTTGGCAGCTTGTGTATTGATCTCTCGTGTGTTTTGCAAATGTTACTTAATATGCAAGCCATTACTTTTCAAAGCAAGTCCACAAATTGGACCTCAAATCAAAATTGTGGCTAAACCAATGTTCTTAAAATGTTTTCTAGAGTCAAAATGATATATTACATGCCATGGTTTGGATGTGTAGGTTGAAAATATCAATTTCCAACTTTGATTTATTTAACTTATGCCCTTATTTTAGGCCATTCTTGCAACTTTGAGCTACAAGCATTTTCATCATCTCATGACCTATTTACTAGCCTTAAAACATCATTTTGAACAAGTTTGATGTTGAACATTTTTCCATTTGAAGCTTGGAAATAGGAGTTATGCCTTATGGTTGAAATGACCTGTAATCTCCAAATGACCAAAATACCCTTGACTTGTCAAAGCCATAACTTGAGTTATACAAATCCTATCAAGGACTTATAGTACTCTCTAGAAATCTAAGAGGATAAGGAACAACATTCATGTTGACCAAAAGTCCATAGGAATCATCCTTCTTGGGCAAAAGTTTGATGCAAGTTGGGTAACTTTCAAGCCCCAGATTCACATACCTCAGATGACCTGTAACTTGCCAAAGTCATAACTTGAGTTCTACAAATCCTATCAAGGACTTCTAGCACTCAAATTAAAGCTAAGATCAAGCTCTACAACATTAATGTTGGGGGTAAGATGAGATGACAATCACATCTTGGGCTAAACTGCCTTGAAGATATGGGTCAAACTAGGGGATTTTACACTGTCAAGCCTTAGAAACCCTAGCTTGAAACTTCTCAAACTCTTCAATAATGATGAGTTAACCTTGGAATAATCCTTATAACATCTCAATGTATCAATCCATGATCACATGGCTCTTGGACTAGGTCTCAACCTTCTCCAAATCATTAGTTGACCTAGGGTTGACCCTATCAAACCCTAATTACACCACTCATGGCTGAGTCTTCTTAAACTTGCATAATGACCTATCTAGGCTTCATGATGGCTTTCAAGACATCCCATAAGCTCTCTCAAGGCTTCAAGTCCACATTATTGGCTTCAGAATCATCTGAGGAGTTCCCACAACTCTCAAGTTAGGAGGCACACAACCTTGGTCTCAACCACTCTCTCTGAGGATTTTCTAACTTCTCTGACAAAGATATCAACCCTTGAATACTTGAATAACCTTCTTGGCTAGCTTCATAGTATTGTATAGCTCTTGATTGGTAATCATACCTCTTGATCTCCTGAATATATGTCAATGAAATGCAAATGATAATGCTAATGTGAATGAAATGAAACACAAGCTAGGTAAAGAAATGTTGGTCAAATTTTGGGGTGCAACACAAGCAGATAGGCTCATTTCATAAGACTTGAAGTAGAAATCTTGGGCTGAGGGCATGAGCAATGACGTATTGAGTTTGTGGAATCTGAGCTGGAAGTCTCGAGTGAGGAGCTTGAGCAGAAGTCTTGGACCTTGGGTCTGAGCAATTGTAAAGTCTTATGTAGAATGCATAAGCGATTTTAATCAAGTTTTTGTTAGAACAATATTTGGTTCTACATCTGTATCTATAAATTTTGATGATAACAAGTCAAGATTCATGTAAGAACAATTTTGGTACCCTAATGGTTTGTTACTGTGTGTCTTTAGAAAAAATCTTCGATTCTGACTCTTGAACGTGAAACATTACAAGTTTCTGAATATATTGATCTAAATCACTTATGCTCAAACTCACGGATAAGATGCTTCTAAGAAATCTGTATATTGCTGCTGCAACTAGGGGTGACAAAACGGGTCGGGCCCTCCGGGTCGGCCCATTTGACGCGCCATTTTTGGCGGGCTGGGCTGAGGTTTTCGGCTCAGTACTTTAAGTTGGCCTGCCCCGCCTAACCCACTTGAAAAGCGGGTCGGGCCGGGGCGGGGCAGGTTTTGCCCGCTGCCTTTTTGTTAAAACTTTTTTTTATCTTCTTACTTAAAATTAAAACAACTTTAACTATAAAAATAACACTCTTCTCTTAGGATTATATTGATTGAATTGTATTATAAATTATTATACAAATAAATTGAATTATAATTGTAACGTTATTGTCTATAACTTTCTAATACATGTGTTGATTGGAAAAACTTGAAATAAAAGAACAATTGTATGAAATGCTGAATTATTAAGAGTTGTCAAACATTAGCTCACATATTTTTTTTAGAAATAGATGTTAATTTTAAGAAAAGGAAGGATTTGATTAGTGTATACATGTGATAAATTTAGGATTTAACTATTAAAGAATCAGTCAAAATAAAAGTCTATATGATGTAAAGAGTGAGAAAGTCAAGTGTTGATATTTTATGCACTACTATTTTCTGCATTGTGATGTTTTATGCAGTGTAATTGCTATCATTGTTTGTATTTTGTAAATTATTTATTGGGTTTTTTAGTAGTTAGTTTTTAAATAGGATTAGGATGATATGAATTGTTTATTCATTTTGATACGTTTTTTTTATTGTGCTTGAGTTTATTTCATTTTTTTGTAATTGGTATTTATTTATTTTATTTTTTGAACTGTTTGGACTTAATACATGTTGAAGTTCTATTATGCATTGTTACATTTTTTTCCAACCTCTTTGGTAATAATTTTTTTTAAAAAATTATGTAGTAAATCAAATTGTAAAATAAAAAATAAAAAATTAGCGGGCCGGCCCGCCAACTCGTTAGTAAACGGGGTGGGCTTGACTTTTTAGATCGGACGCTTAAGTCGGTCCGACCCGACCCACTTTTGGACGAGCTTAAATGAGGCGGGCCTAAACGGGGTGGGCCGCCCACTTTGCCACCCCTAGCTGCAACGTTCTCTTGGCTCTTGGTTCTGACGTGTTACTATGATCAATTCACTTCTAAATACTGCTCAAGCTTCCAAAGATTAAGCGCTGAAGGTTCTAAAAACTCTGAAGAATCTCAAGTCAGATATTGATGTGATCAAGCTTCTGATTGATGATTGAAGTTTTTGAACTCAAGCTTCCGAAGATTAAACGTTGAAGGTTCTAAAAACTCTGAAGAATCTCAAGTCAGATATTGTTGTGATCAAGCTTTTGATTGATGATTGAAGTTTCTGAACTCAAGCAAAATCAACTCTTCTAACTCATGCTTCAAACAACGATTTATCTAGAAGCCACTGAAAAATAGAAGATAGAACGAGTTTATACGTAGGAAAAATAGTACATGGTACAAACCAATATTCATTCCACTAAGCATATTTCATGGAGTAAGGAAATTGAGGTAGTATGATTCTTGTCCCCTCCATATCAAACCGTTACTCAAGTCGCCAACTCGTTCATGAAGAATACCAGATCTACCCTACAACGGATCTTTTTTTACTGGCTATATAAAGACTTGAAGACTTGAAGAAATTGATATAAATAAAAAAGCTTTTAAAGCAAGCAAGCAAGCGAAATAACGAAGAAATTTTCTTTAAGCGTATTATGCTTTTAACTTGTTTATATCTGCTTGTGTAGAAGCAATCTTTGTAAACACAACTTTGTAATCAAACTGTTGTTTATATTTCCTTAAGGGACCAGTTAGGTCAGAATCCTTGAGAAGATATAAATAATGTGTCTTTGCGGTTTGTTAGTCACCAGCAATTTCTAGTGCAGTTGTAATCAAACTGTTGTTTGTATTTCCTTAAGGGACCAGTTAGGTCAGAATCCTTGAGAAGGCATAGACTGTGTGTCTTTGTGATTTGTTAGTCACCAGCGGTTGCTAGTGCAATTGTAACCAGTTGATTATAGTGGATTAAGTCCTTGGGTATAAGGCGAAATCACCTTGGCGGGTGGACTGGGTTAATTTTGAGATTTTCAAGTGAACCAGTATAAAAATCGAAGTGTTTTTTCTCTTTGTTGTTCATTAGCGGTGATTTTTATTGAGTGAGTAAAAAAAAATTGTTTTTGAAAACCCCAAATCAAACCCCCGCTTTCTTGTATTTTTCTCACCTTCAGTTTTGATTATAGTGAAAATCTCTTGTGAAGCATGTGGACTGAACTACTCTCAGTTAGAGGAGGAATCAGTATAAATCTTTGTGTCTTTTGTTATTATTTATTTGCTTCTATTAACATCCTTCTGCTAAGAATTAACCAAAATCTGAACACTAGTATAGATTCTAAACTCTGATCAGATGCAAACTAAGAAAATAAAAAACACAATTCAACATTCTTCTTGTGTATTTTTCTCACCTTTAAAAGAGAGATTGCTCAAAAGATTTTATCTTAACTTCTGGTTATCCGCGGGTGAGGATTGATATCCTTTTCAAAGGAGTCGTTAGAGATATAGTTGATATTGTGTTGCATTCTAAAAACCTCTCTCAAAATTGATTAGATATTAGAGCCAAAAGGCATTTGTCGATAAATAGATTTAATTGATTCTCTTGTCCATTATGTGCTTTTGATTAATGTGATTTTTGTTTGTTTGCTCGTTTTAATGGGCTTTTATTTTTATTTTTTTCTTTTGTATTGGGGTTAAACACCTAATGCTTAATATAATCAATTCAAAAAAAAGAAATGGTTAATAATTATAGTAATGGGAAACTAAGTTTTGCATATAATATAAGTGCAATATTACCTATATCTATAGCGATACCGCGTCTCAATCTCAAAAAGCAATACATAGAGTCTCACTTGTGAGTCCACGTTTTTTCCAACTCCATCGTGCCCACAACTGACACCAGTAAGGTAAATCTTCAACCATTCTTCTCTTCTTCATCTTCTCAATTTCACCTTTATCTCAACATCTTTCATCTTCAGATTCATGGGTAGGTTATTTCTCATCAACTTGGAGGGTAGGATCTATACCTGCAAATTCTGTCATACTCATCTTGCTTCATACGAAGACATCCTTTCTAAGGTCCCCTTTTCATCACAATTCCAATCATATGTTGCTTAGATTAGGTTTCTTAAAAATTGTTTTTTCATGTTCTTCTGGAACATTTTGGTACTTTTGTTGCCGGGTCCCCTAATTCTTAATTGAGGTTTTTTATAAGAACAAAAATATTTTAACAAAATTTGTTTTCCCAATGTTGTTGTTTTAGACTTTTCACTGCAGACACGGGAAAGCTTATCTCTTCAATAAGGTGTAAGTTATACTCTCTTTAAGCATTGTATGATTGGTTCCTAAGAAACTTAAATAAGCATCTGCAATGATGGTAATGTCTTCATATATGCTGTTGGTAATGTCATTGTGTTTATTCAAGAACTGTTTTAGAATATACATATATACATTTTGCATTCCCACATTTGAATCGTCTTATTCTTGCATTTAAGACATGTCGATCAAGTGGCAGGCGGTGTGCACTAGGGGTATGGGTTGGGATCAGGGCCGTCTTTGAAATCGTGCAGAACGGACTACTCTGTAGAGTCTAAAATTTGTCACGGTTAAACTGTTACTAATAGGGTCTCATAAAATATTGTCACGGTTAAATCATGCTTAAATAGGGTCTATATTTTTTTTGCATGGTTAAACTGCGGCTAACTTATACAGGGTCTCCAAAAAGTTGAGACAACTATAGTTGGAATGTTGAAAGAGTATTAAGAAAGAAGTTCAGAGTTCGATCTTGCTGCTAACGAATTCTCTCTCTCTCTTTAACAATTAACCACTAACAAGAAATGCCGGTCAAATATGAAATCATATCATTGTCTATCTTATAGCTTGTGTAACCAAAGTGTTGACCAAAACAGTTAGCTTTTAACATGTGGCCTATTGGGCCTCTAATACCGTTACATTATATTTTTGCAGTTGGGTTTGTTTAAGGATATAGTTGAAACTTGAAACCTTGTATTCTTTGACAGTGTGAATGTTTCTCCTGGAGAAACGGAGGAGAGGCATATGATGACTGGGTTACATACTGTGGCTGACATTTTCTGTGTCGGTTGTGGATCGATTGTGGGTTGGAAATATGTAAGAATAGGAAGTGCCTCAAATGTAATTTATAAGATCTGAAAATCGGTTAGTTTAATTTCCTTCTTCTCTTGTAATCAGCTAATAATGATTGATTCCGCCGATGTTCTTGCTTAGGCGTATTCTTACTGATTTTCGGAGTTCCAACAAAGAACCCTAATAATTGACTTTTTGTTGCAATTTTTTAGAAATTTGTCTGATGAATTTTGAATTCATTTTAGGACAGTCAAAAATCCCAATAGGATCCGAAAACCGGTTAGTTTATTCTCTTAACTTAATCTACTCTACTGTAAACGTATAACTATTAAATTAATTTGAGAAATAGTGAAAATTTAGTAATTTGTATTATGATATCATAATTGTAATTTTGGGAATTTTTTCAACCCTTAGATTTTGGATTCTTAATCATATTTTCAGGATTTTAGGATACTATATAAGTCCTTGTTAAAAGTAGCAAAATATTTTATTTGAGAAAAACATGTAAACATATACTACTAAGTGGCCATGTTGTAGTCTTAAGTTTAGCAAAAGAATCACATAGGTTATCAAAAATGATTTTCGCCCAATTAACCTTTTCAAAGGCATCCAAGTTTTCCCCAAAACCATACACTCGAGACCTTGGGATTTGGAGAGCATAACAGTATGAGTTCAATCAGAAAGAACGAAAGAAATTGCTTGAAATTTGATTGGCTTTGCTTGTCATTTATGAATATTTTTTCTAAAATTATCTTAACATCTGATGTTTTTATTTTTGTTGGTTCTGGCAAATTGAATTCTTTTTCAAATCAATGAGAAAACATTTTTGCAGGAGAGTATACTAAACTAGTCTCCATATCTTAAATACCGAGGACTTGCACGACCTCTTTGGCACAAAAAGAAAAAGATACATCATCGTTGAAAACAAAGATTTTCTTTTCTGGTTGATAAGTTTCAGAGAAAAGGGAAACTAATACGGCTGAACTCTCTTCATCCATTTTCAATTTCTAAGAAATCATTGAAAATGAAGTTTCTCATTAGAGTCTTTTTTCTAGAACTTAATTCACAGGTCAGGGCCTCAAGAGTTTGTAAGCTTGCAACAAGCTTAAGAGACTGTCTCTCTTTTGTATCCTAGAAAACAAAATTAATTCTCTTCTTAAATATTTCAAATAACAATATTCCAAGAAAGCACTAAAACCAAATGTAGGATATGTATATTATAACTCACCATAAGCAAGAGATCAACTTTTGTCAACAATGTAGGAATTATTGTTTCAGGTATGGTATTCTAAGACCTATCCTATTCAAATATTTCAATCCCACCAATTGAAGAACCCTGTACAATGCTGTAAAATATATTTCAATCCAATATATTTACAAGGCCTCCTTGTACTACAGATATTTGACTACAATAGGGCCACTGTGTAGTATATGTTTACATGTTTTTCTCAAATATAACATTTGCTACTTTCAACAAAGACTTATATAGTATCCTAAAATTCTGAAAATATGATTCTGTATTACATACAGATGTTTGACTACAATAGGGTCACTTAGTAGTATATGTTTAGATGTTTTTCTCAAATAAAGCATTTGCTACTTTCAACAAGGACTTATATAGTATCCTAAAATCCTAAAAATATGATTCAAAATTCAAAATCCAAGAGTTGAAAAAATTAGCAAAATTACAATTATCATATCATAATGCAAATTATCAATTCTTCACTATTTCTTAAATTAATTTAATAGTTATATGTTTACCAGTAGATTAAGGTAAGACTTAATAGAATAAATTAACCGGTTTTCGGATCCAATTGGGGCTTTTGACATTGTTGAAATGAATTCAAAATTCGTCAGACAAATTTTTGAAAAATTGCAACAAGTCAATTATTAAGTTTTTTTGCAAGAACAACTGTGGGATCAATCAATATTTGCTGATTATAAGAGAAGAAGGAAATTAAACTAACCGATTTTCAGTTCTCCAAAACCAATTTTCAGATCTCCAAAGCCTTTTAGTTACAAAAATGGTGTTTTTCAGGAAACTGCCCATGAGAAAGATCAGAAGTACAAGGAAGGAAAAGCTGTGCTTGAACGGTCAGTAGAAATAATGCTAGAAAAGATTGCTAATATATGGCCTATTTGAATTTACTTATTTATCGACAAACAGTTGTGAGATTGTTTGCGAGAGTTTATGGAAGCAACTTGTGAATTTGTAGCGGTTTAGATTAGATGAATTGTGTTATTGGGCAGGTACAAGGTGTCGGGTCCTGATGGTAGCAATTATCGAATCAACAATGGAGCACATGTTGGCGGAAGCGATGCAGATGATATATAGTCATTCATCCCACCACATCGCCATTCCTAATTGTACATTCCTTAACCTGCAGCTAGCTAGTTACATGAGTGTGCATTTATACGGAAATTTAGCCAAATCCGCATTGTCATACTCTATCAGTAACACAATTTGAGTACATCTAACTTCTAAGTGGCGATTCTGTTTTGTTTTACTAAGAAATTTTTTATTTTCGAACGTCTAATTGTTCCTGTTTTTTCGATTTGTAGCATCATATTTGGATGAAGAAAGTCTTTCGAGTGCCATGGCGTCCTGCATCGTCAAGTAAATGTAAATGTAATGTATTGAAATTGAAATAAAACACTTCTGAAAACTATGTATTAATCTAACCAAAACTTTTGTTGGTTGATTTTATGCTGATTTCTTCTTGAAACTGATTTGAATCAGTTATGGTAAATGATATATTGCTTGAATATGAAACACTGACACAACATAATTGAGATGTAAAGATTGAAAATTATGTATAACTGAAAAGAAACTGATTTGAATCAGTTGTTTTGATGGATAATACTTGCTTGAATTTGAATCACTGACGCAACAGGATTGAGTTGTAAAGATTGAAATCCATGTATTAATACAAGACATAAACACTGATGTATGTTTTTATATAGATATTTGTGTTAGTTATAATTAGTTTTTATTTTTAGAATTTTTCTTGTCTAAAATTTTCATCAACATTATTAACTATTTTGATACCGGATTGATAAGTGTTGATGCAAAACTTCATTCTTCTACTTCTTTGTTGTGTATATCACATATAGACGAAGAAGAGAACTTGATATAAGTTGGATGTAAAGACCAAACTTCTCAAACTTAAATACGGGGATGCAAAAAATCAAACCTAAAAGGATAGCATAAAGGAAGCATGGATAGTTCTTTTAGATTTTTGGATCACAAACTTAATAATTAAAGTGTTAGGGTTATCGGTTGATTAGTCAAGATTTAATTAATCTAAAATAAGTTTGTGGTTAAAAATATAAATATCATGAAAGGTAAATTTATTGTGTAGATATTATAAGGATCCGTTCGGTTCAATATAAAGAGGAGAGGAGAAGGATTTTAATAAAGGGGAGAGAAGCTACAGAAATCTTTGGTTCAAAAGAGGGGGATGGAAGGGAAAAGAGAAATTTTAAATAAAAATATGTTTAGTTCGCAAGCGGATGAGATGGTTTTTAAAAATATTTTATCTTTTTATCCTTAAAATATTATAACACTCTTATTAAATAAAGTACAAACAAAATAATATTCACACAAAAAAATAAAAATTTGTTAATTCATAAAGAACGTAGATAATCAAACACAATAATATTTTAAATACTTTGAAATATATTAAAGTGTAAATAAAATATTGATAAATATTATTAAAACAATATGATCAATCTTCAGTTGAATCATTTTATCATCTTGATGATCTATCTAATTTTATAAAATATTTATGAAATTAAATTTTAGATAATATATAACCCATATACTACAATTATTATTATATATCGATACATAATACAACACAACAATTTATAAACAAATTAAGTTATTACAAATAAAATAATAAATAAAAGTGAATACAATATAACAAAAGAAAGTTAAATCATAATTAAAAATAACAGAGTTGTCATTAAAAAAATATGGAGAAATTATAATAAGGTGAAGAATTATCATATAATATTTATTAAGAAGAAGATAGGATTATAATAAAAATGAGGTTAATTATGTAATATAATAAAAATAAATTTTATTATAACTCCTCTTCCTTCCCTCCTCTTCAAAAGTCTCCAATTCGAAAAGAAAGAAAAACTACTCCCCTCCCCTCTCCAAAATCTCCCAATCAAATCAAACGGACATTAAGTCAATACCTAATTTTATGAGAGTCAAATTAAAATATTAAAAATTAAGAAATGAGAGCAAATAGAAAAATACGATGTATTAGGATTATATCTTCATATCTATTAAAAGAGATTCAAGGAATCTTAAATAATTCTACAAATTAAAATACATATTAGTTTAGAATTTTATTCTTAATTTTTATATCGATAAAAATTATAAAGTTATAATTCAATTTTTATTTTGTGAATTTTTAATATTAAGATTTTAAAATTGAGATCATTACTTCCACAATATAACAAAAAATCAAACCTAAAAGGATAGCACAAAGGAAGCATGGATAGTTCTTTTAGAATTTATGATCACAAACTTAATAATTAAAGTGTTAGGGTCATCGGTTGATTAGTCAAGATTTAATTAATCTAAAATAAGTCTGTGATTAAAAATATAAATGTTATGAAAGATAAGTTTAGTGCGTAGATATCAAAAGGGTCCGTTCGGTTCAATAGAAAGAGGGGAAGGAAAATGATTTTAATAAAGGGGAGAGGAGGTAATAAAATCTTTGGTTCAAAAGAGGGGATGAAAAGGAAATGAGAAACTTTAAATAAAATGTTTAGTTCGCAAGCGGATGGGAGAGTTTTTAAAAATATTTTATCTTTTTATTCTTAAAATATTATATCCTTAAAATATTATAACACTCTTATTAAATAAAGTACAAACAAAATAATATTCACAAAAAAAAATAAAAATCTGTTAATTCATAAACAACGTAGATAATTAAACACAATAATATTTCAAATACTTTAAAATATATTAAAGTGTAAATAAAATATTTATAAATATCATTGAAACAGTATGATCAATATTCAGTTGAACCATTTTATCATCTTGATGATCCATCTAATCCTATAAAATATTTATGAAATTAAATTTTAAATAATATATAACTCATATACTACAATTATATATCGATATGTATACAACACAATAACTTATAAACAAATTAAATTATTACAAATAAAATAATAAATAAAAGTGAATAAAATAAAACAAAAGAAAGTTAAATCATAATATAAAAATAATGGAGTTGTCGTTAAAAAAATATGAAGAAATTATAATAAGGTGAAAAATTAACCTATAATTAAGAAGAAGATATGATTATAATATTAAAAAAAAAGGTTAATTATGTCAATATAATAAACATAGATTTTATTATAACTCCTCTCCCTCCCCTCCCTTTCAAAAGTCTTCAATTCGAAAAGAATGAAAAACTACTCTAGAGGGATTCAGATTACCTCCTCTCCTTTATCGCTCTCTCATAAAAAATTGAATCAAACATACTTAATTAAAAATATTTCATCCCCCTCCTCCTCTTATAAAAAATTGTATCAAACGTACTTAATTTAAAATATTTTATCCCCTCTCCAAAATCCCCCAATCAAACAGACATTAAGTCAATATCTAATTTTATGAGGGTCAAATTAAAATATTGAAAATTAAGAAATGAGAGCAAATAGAAAAATACGGTGTATTAGGATTATATCTTCATCACTATTAAAAGAGATTCAAAAAATCTTAAATAATTCTACAAATCGGAATATAGATAAATTTAGAGTTTTGTTCTTAATTTCTATATCGATAAAAATTATAAGATTATTAAAAAATTTAACAAGTACTATCATAGCTATTCGTATATAATTCAATTTTTATTTTGAGAATTTTTAATATTAAGGTTCTATAATTGAGATCATTACTTTTGTGAAAAAATTATTCTGTTTTAGTGTAAAACATAACATATGTTTTATTTGATGAGACGAAAATTTTTGTGTACCCAAGATCTTGAGTCTCTTCATTGTAAAAGATTTGTTCACACCAATTAAGTTGGGTTCCAAATGTGAAATGCGGTAAGGATATGAGCTAATCCATATATAGGTCGTGTACATTTATGAGATTCATAGCTAAGAGGTACCTGTGTATCATCGTCATGTTGCTGCAACATCAAATACTTCTGCATGAATACAGTGTGAAAGAAGTTTAACTCAATAATAACAAATAGTGTTAAGTAGAGTTGTGCTTCAGGTTTCGTAGCAAACAATGAAAATCTCATAAATTTTTTTCTGTTTTATGATTTAACTAATAATAAATCCTTGCCTATGCATGGAGACGTTTGATGACCTAATATGTTTGTGCTCGTGTTGTTTGTCAAATTATAAGAAATAAAAGAAATTGAATCACACCAAACTTTAAAAATACCAAACATAATAATATATCATACTTATACTTACATAATAAAGTATGACCATTTTTTCACAATCCAAGACAACCAAATAGCCAAATAGTTTAAACACCATATAATATTTGTTAATGTTTCTGGGAAAGTGTTGGAAAACATTTAAACATAGTATTGAGTTATTAGTAAAGTGCGTGAAAAAAATATGATTAATCAAGTAGGATAAGGATTGAGTTAGTCTTATCAAAACATATTTTGAATTTTTCTTTTTGGAATTAGTTATCCTTCTCTAGAGATGCATTCTTTGTTGTAACAGGAATGACCTTTATGTTGTCACCATTTCCCTTATTAAGACGTTCATTAGTCTTCGACCCTTCACCATTTTCAGCTTCAACTATGTTGGATTGTTTGTGTTCAGAAGTGTGACTACAAGATCTGTCTTGATGGCCAGGTTCATAAACAACCTTCATATGATTTTGGTTGTTAATCTGGTAAAGATGTTTGTGTAGCAGTTTGTTTTTTTGCATAACTTGTCAACATCTGATATGATTTTCATCAGAGTCACATATGAACTTGAAACAGTAATATAACAAATATAACAATGTCAAATATCAATAAGTCTAAATATTTAGGTATTCAGAAATTATCAACAAATTCTAAAAATTCATCTTATGAATGCAATTGTATGAAAACCCATAATACTAATACCAATATAAGTTATAAAACTTTTATTCGTTTATTAGATTTTTTATTAAACATTTCATGGTCAATTACGAACACTAATATGTTATAATCACAAAATGATAGAAAAACTTGAAATCACATTTCTATTTGTGGTAACCGTGATATACATAACATCATTTCTAAATTCATAAAACATTACAAAATGAAGAATACAAAATTTACAAATGGTAAAAATATTAATGATTGT